AAGGAGATCCAGGCAGCGCCGCTGAAGGAAAGTAAGTAAACTCTTTCAGATTGCATCCAAAACGCTTTTGTCTTTCCAGCATTCAGATGATTTGAGAAAGTGCTGTATGTGTTTATCTGAGCAGGATTCCTGACGGACTGTGACTTTGATCGCGGTGCGTGTGAATGGGTGCAGGATAATGAAGATGATCTGGACTGGACCATCAAATATCATGAAAACGGTACTAACTCACATGAGCATTAATAATGTGTCCAATGGGAAAATGAACAGAAGTCACATTTTTTTGTGTCAGTTTCGAATCTACTAAAAGCTGAGTCAATGTATGAATAACATTTTCCATATTTCTCAAAACCCATATTAATTGACCTCTAATAAAATAAAATAAGATCAAATAAAATGCAAAAAATAAATATTAAAGTAACTACAATAAAAAAAATGTATATGTAATTACTTAAATATTTTTAGAAATCTAACATTAGTGTCTAAAATAACAATACATTACTCCTAAATAAATAAATAAATCCTATAGCGGCGGCCAAAATTGTTAGAACACTTGGCATATTTCAGTTGTTTTTGTTGAATTGACCATTATAATACCCATAAAACAAACTACTGCCGGAACTAGCTGCGATGGAAGGAATCTGCTGGAATATTAAAAATGATGGACTGGCCCCCTCAAAGTCCGCATCTCAACCCCATCGAGCGAATTTGGGGCGAGTTGGAAAATCAACTGGACAGATCTATTGTAGATTCAGAGGAAAGCCTTTGGCTTGAGCTGCAGAAGGCATGGGATAACATTAGTGTTGAAGTTCTCAGGAAATATATTGACACTATGTCAGAGAGATGGGCTGCTGTCATTGCTGCAAAAGGTGGACATACCAAATATTAAAGTTAAAAGTGGATAGAAACAGTACGACTCACTTCATCTGATATTTGTTGTGCTCAGAGCAACCATCTGCATGTTTCATGAACATTATGAAATGAAATCATGTTTTGGAGGCAAAAAAGGTTAATATTTTCAAAACTGTCAGGTGTTCTAACAATTTTGGCCACCACTGTGTGTGTGTGATATATATATATATATATATATGTATGTGTGTGTGTGTGTGACCCTGCAGCACAAAAGCAGTGTTGAGTCGCTGGGGTATATTTGTAGCAATAGCCAACAATACATTGCACGGGTCAAAATTATTGATTTTTCTTTTATGCCAAAAATCATTAGGATATTAAGTAAAGATCATGTTCCATGAAGATATTTTGTAAATTTCCTATCGTAAATATATCAAAACTTAATGTTTGATTAGTAATATGCATTGCTAAGAACTTCATTTGAACAACTTTAAAGATGATTTTCTCAATATTTAGATTGTTTTGCACGCTCAGATTCCAGATTTTCAAATAGTTGTATCTCGACCAAATATTGTCCGATCCTTACAAACCATGCATCAATGGAGAGCTTATTTATTCAGCTTTCAGATGATGTACAGAAATGTACAAATTTACACTTATGACTGGTTTTGTGGTCCAGGGTCACTCACACACACACACACACATATACATATATACATATAAAGAGAGAGAGAATTTTTTATAAATATTTACAATATTTTTGACAGTATTGCGTAACATTTCCTCCTCTGGTTTGTTATAGTTACACCCCCCCTGCAATATTTATACTGTGTTACGGTCTAAAAACATTCTTTAAAAAATCCCAATAAATTAATTAATCTTGATCGTGGCTCTTTCTCTTTGGTTCTTCAGGAAGGGAATATTACTTGGCTCTCGACGGTCCTGTGGGGAACAGGAAGGAGCAGGCGCGGATGAAGCTGCTGCTGGATGATTACATGCGTCAGAGCAGCTTCTGTCTGAAATTTGATTATCGCATTCAGGGTCAGAACATGAGCGTCTTACGAGTGATGCTGGACAACAGCGCCGTCGCCATCTGGGAGAGAAGAAACCCTCTCAACCGCAGCTGGCGGTCAGAGCAGATCACCATCACCTGGACAGAAAACACTCCGGAGGCCGTGAGTTACAGTTATTCAGCCTGAGTTTTCTAAAAGTTCTTCATATTGAAGGGTGTGATATTTGAGCCACACACTGCAAAAAATAATTTTCTTCCTCAGTATTTATGTCTTGTTTTCCAGTAAAAATATCTAAGCATTCTTAAATCAGGATACATTTAGATTCAAAATGTTTTACTTTAAGTATTGTTTTCTGAATAATCAATCAAAAGTATGCCAGTTTATGCTTAAAATGAACAAATAAGGGAACAAATGCAATAACTAGTCTAATTTTTATAGCAGACAGATTTTTTTCTTGTTTTAAGCATAAATTCACTTAATTTTGATCATTTTAAGTCATTTTGCATCTCACTTTTCTTGTACTAGAAAACATGACAAAAATATTAAGATATATAGGAAAAAATTGAAATGATTGGATGGTAAAAAATGTACTTATTATTTGAACTAGATCTGGTCTCTATATATGTGTGTGTATAAAGTAATAAGTAACATATTTAACGCACAAACACACACACAAACAGTATGTTTTAAGATACGTTTATTTGTAATTATACTGTTATTTTAGTCACATTAGTATTTAAGTTTAAATATGTATTATATATAATCATATTAAAACTACACTCTAAAGAAAAAAAAAATTCTGCCAGGACGTTATTCATTAATTTAACAGAAATTTCCATTAACAAAACATAATGCAGTTCAAAAATCAAAATTTCAAAATTAAAATCAATTATATCAATACTGTACATTATGCCATATTCTTACAGATTTTTTTTTAACAGTGTAGAAAACATGACAAAAATATTAAGAAAATATTAGCATATGCTGACTTTTTTTGAACAAGTTACAAACAAGTTATCGATTGGGTTTTGAAATGTGTCTAATTGTTTGACCCAGATCTTGTTTTGATATTTTTTATGTTCTCCAGCTTATTACAGTATATTTATTAATGGTTTGACTGTTTCTTCAGATCATCTTTGAGGCCGAGCGTGGGAGGTCAGTAAGCGGAGAGATCGGTCTGGATCACGTGCTTCTGATCTCAGGACCCTGTTCGGATGATAAATCCGACATCTTTTAGTGGCGACACAAAGGACTT